TATATATATATATATATTTCGTTTAATGTACTAAACGTAATATTTTTTTGAGAACGATGAAATTTATATTATTAAAAAATATATGTGCTGTGAAAAAAAAAACATTAAAAAGGTTGAATAACACCAATTAAAAATTCACTTTTTAAAATCTATATTATTAATATATATATATATATATATATATATATACTAATTTAGTATGATGTTTTATTTAATCAGATCAAGTTCTATTATCTTATACAAGGATACAAATATTATCCGTTTTGAATTTAAGTTTTCGCAATTTTTCTTTTGGTCATCTCCAAAAAAGCCTATCAACCATTAGAGTATATGTATGTTTTATAAACTCTTATGTATTTTCTTATTTTATTTAATAATGTAATCAATTGTACGAGGTCTTGTTTATATTTCACAATCGTACGAAACCTTGTTTGTATCTCAACAACCCTTCCCTTAAACAAAAAATCTAACCTCTCATTTAATGGAATTTGTCTTTGTATATTATTATATCATTTATCAGTTTTTGTTATAATTTGTTAATTGTCACCGAATCCAACCTACAATTTTGATACTACTGTTGAGAACAAAAAAGAACTTTTTCCCTTTTATGAGCAACAACGATGAGAAATACATTAAAAAAACCCTATAAATAAATAGAAAATGACAAAGTTTTATTTAACGTGATTAAACCCTTCATGCTTACATCTATAAGGATGTTCATTATTTCAAATTGTATTATATGCATGTTCCTAAAAATCCTCCCTTCAATTTTTTATGGGCGAAACTTGAAAAATCTATCTTTATAAGTTTTATGGGTGTAACTTGGAAATTTCTCCCTCACAAGTTTTATGGTGAAACGTTAAAACCTTTTTTCATAAGTTTTCCGGCGAAACTTAGAAACCCCCTTCATATGATTGTTCTATCATGTAAGATAGTGACCCCTCTACAAGTTGAGTGATTCTTCTCATCTGAAGAGTTTCTATTTATTGATATAACATCCTATAATATTAAAAGAAGAAACAAATCTCTAAAAAAAATATAATATATTTCAATTCTTAAATATTTGAATTTAGAAATTTGAATTGTTTTCCCAACAATTGCTCCCTCAATTAAAATTTTTCAAACTTTTATCTTCTTGTTTCCTTGGATGCTCGTCACAATCATCTTCAATCATATTTTTGTTCTACAGATATTTATATCAAGAGGAGGGTTATAACTTTGTTGTTATTTAGTTTTTTCTTGTCAATTATTTCACACACAACTCCATAATGGTGAGATATTGTCCGTTTTGGGTCTAAGCCCTCATGGTTTTGTTTTTGGTCATCTCTCAAAAGGTCTTTCAACCATCGGAGTATGTATGTGTTTTATAAACTCTTATTTCTCTTCTTGTTTTAACAATGTGTGACCTTTTTCATATCTTGTCAAATCTATCAGGCCTTGTTTGTATCCCACAATTATATGGAACCTTGTTTGTATTCCAACAATATGAAATATGTTCAATAAAAATGGCCCGTCTTTCTAAATCATCATGCTTCCTTATATTGGTGCTTCAATGAAAATGATTGTTGCGAATCCTTCAGAATCTTTCAAATGCTTATCTCATCTATCTTCATCTTTGTTCCTTGGGGAGAGAAGTATCTGTTGGGTATTAAATGCATTTAACCAAATTGTCAGTTCTTATCTAATTAAGAAAACTACTTATCACCTTTTAGGAACTAAACGAGTAAAACCATGCATGTGTCAAGTCATAGTAGTTTTAAACAACTTTATATGGCATTTTCGGTGATTCAGGGGATCTATTTGTCTTTTTCTAATGCTAAGCATGTCTTTTGTTCCTTTTAGTTGAATGTGAGTAAAAAATAAGTTTTTTCATTCAATTCATTAAGGAATCATACAAACACAAGCAATTTTATTATTAGAAACCATAAATGATATGAAATCAAAACGTGTGTCTTTTAGACTAAGTACTTCATC